GCGTAGTTATACGATAGACGGCGGCCGGCCGGGAGGAACAAAAACAAATTTTTGGATCGCTTAGGCGGCGTTCCATCCCCCGGCACCAGCGACTCCGCGAGAACACAAAAAGGAACAACGGAACTAAAGACGGCACTGCAAATAAAGCGCAACAAGAAAATGGGTGCAACAAAAAAAAGGAAAACTCTAACTCCGCCTCGCGGGTGAGGCCCTTGAAAGGTTGGCCGGTTAGGCCGTGCTCGCTCTTCCGGTATCAACAACACCGCGCGAACAAAAAAATAAAGGAGTTAAGGACGGCACAGCCCAACGGAACGAAGAGAAAAAAAAGGAAAAACGACATAAGCCAAACAACAAAAAAAACTATCCTAAGGGAGAAAAAGGAAAACTTATACTAAACTTATCCTAGGCGCGAAAAAGAACGAAGAAAGGGGGGCGGCCAAAACCAAACAGAAAAAAAACGACTAGGCGAAAAAGAACAAACAAAAACGAATCGAACCACCTCTCTAGCGGGCGTTCTTCCTCTTCACCCCCGGGGGAGGTCCCCGGCGGCGACGCGGCTTCGATCCCGGGTGACCCTCCCCCGGGACGTACGGGCCCTCGGCCACCCACCCCGGGCGGCAGGCTGGGCACTGCCGGACATCCTCTCCATCCCGGCCGCACCGGTAGCAAAACTTCCGGATGCGGGGGCTGGGGCAGCTGTGTGCGAAGTGCGTGGCGGAACCGCAGTTCCAGCAACGCTCCAGCTGTCCCCACCTGTCGACACTCTCCCGGGCTATGGGTGGCGGGGCCTCCTTCGGCAGCAGCGGTGGCGGGCTTCGCGTCGTCTCCCGTCTATCCTCGCCGGCGGCTTGCGGCGGGTACGGCGGTCGGCTGGCGGCCTCCTCCGGCCGGGGCTCTTCGCGGTCCGCGGGCCCCCCTTCCGTTTGGGTGTCCGCGTCCCTATACCGCGGGGTCCGGCGCACCTCCCCCGACTCGGTCTGCGTCGCGACGTCTTCGGTGCAGGCCCCCGGCCAGTCCGCCTGGGTGCCCCGACTCCGGCGGGGGACCGGTTCCGTCTGCGACCCGGCCTCCATCGACTCCGGCCAGTCGGCGACGGTCACGCGGCCGGGGCCGTCGGGTCCCCTCATCTGCCGGAACATCTCCCCCCGGAGGGCCTCCCAGAACCCGGGGTACTCCTGCAGGATCCAGCGGTACAGGGGGCCCCATCGCCGGTTAAAGGCGGCGCGGTCCTCCATCACGCCGCCCCCTCCTCCCGGGTGTCCCTCGGCCGCCTCGGCGGCGGGGTGTCTCGCCACGGCACTCGCTCTTCGCTCGGCGCCTATGGACCAAAGGGCTCGCGGTAAGGTTTGAGATCCTTGACATGCACCTTGCCCGCGAGAATCCCCGCCCGGTCCGCCAGCTCGTACACGATCGGCGACAAGATCTTCGCGATAGTGTATGGGCCGTGGAATTTGGTCGCCAATTTCGCGGAAACATGCTGGGCCGCGGACGACAACACATGCTGTCGCTTCAACACGGGCGCGCCGACCTCGTACAGCCGGTCCCTCCTCCCCTTATTGTAGTGACGTGCTTGGGCCTCCCGCGCGGCCTCCAAGTTTTCCACCACCCATGCTCGCAGTGTGTGCATGCGCTCCATGCGCTGGCCCCACTGATGGGGGTCCGACAAGTCGCCGCCGCCTCCGCGGGGTCTGTTAGGCGTACCGGGTCCGGTTCCCTCCCGAAATTGAGAAAGGCGGGTGTCGTTCGGAGGGACGTATGGTACGCGGAGTTGTACGCGAAGCGGAACTCGGCGAGGTGGAGGTCTCATTCCCGGTGATCCCGCTCTAGGAACGCGGTGATCATTGTTTTAAGTACGCGGCTCACTCGTTCGACCGGGTTCGCCTGGGGGTGGTACGGCGGAATCGTCGAGTGGCTAATACCGTATTGGACCGCGAGGGCCCCGAGCTCCCGATTAATGAATTCGGTGCCGTTGTCCGTCAACAAAACTCGCGGCGCGCCCCATCGGAAAACGACAAGCTCCTCTATTGCCTCGCGTATCTTCTTGCCCGTGGCTCGCCGGAGGGGACAGAGTTCTATCCACTTGGTGAATAGGTCCTGCAGCACTAAGAGGTATGCGTACCCGCTCTTACTCGTTGGCAACGGATCCATTATATCGGCCGCGACTACTGTCCACGGAGCCTCGACCACCCTTCGCCCTATTAATCCGACCGGTACGGCTTGCTCGACTTTTGTTCGCTGGCACGTGTCACACCGACGGACGTATTCGGCGACATCTCGAAACATTCGCGGCCAGTGATAACGCGCCGCGAGTCGCTGGTAGGTTTTCTCGACGCCGAAGTGGCCCGCTTGCGGGGTGTCGTGGTTCGCCCTTACGAGATCCCTCCGCGACGCGTCCGGTATCACCAACTTCCACTGGTCGCGATCCTCGACCACCTCCGAGACTACGGCCCGCGGCCTTCGGGTATACAAGCGCTCATCGGTGATCCGCCACCCCGGGTATCGACGCGAGATTTTCCTCGACCGCGGCCGCCCGCGCGTCGTACCATCCGTCCCCCGTGATCGCGACCGCGCACCACTCCTCCTCCGTTTCGCCCACTCGCGACAGCGCGTCGGGCACGTGGTGGAGCGCGCCCTTCCGATGCTCGATGGCGTAGTCGTATTCGAGCAGCTCCAGCGCCCATCGCGCCAACCGCTCCGTCTCGCGTCGGGTTACGCAAGTTGTGCAGCCACCGGAGGCTGCTGTGGTCGGTGACCACGGTAAATTTATACCCCTCCAGATACGGGCGGAACTTTCTAATGCAGTGCTCGGAATTAGTTGCCCTTTTCGGCCAGATTCCGTAGGCAACACCTCCTGTTCCCCCACTACGCTGAATATCGATCGAAGGCTCGACGGCCGAGCCGCCGTTTGCACGTGAGACGCTGTTTCTCTAGGAGCGACTCTATATGAAAACTGTGTTAGAATCGTATCTTCCGTCAATTCGGATCAACAATAGTACCTCACGGGTGATGTGGAAAGCTATTGTTAAAATTATCATAATTATCATACATACAGGGTGAGTCAAATGTATGGAAATCTTCGGATAACTCGTCTGGATTGAATTTTTTTGAAAAATGGTAAATACAAAAG